TAGGTTCAGTTTTTTTTTGGAGAATTTAACTTATATTTAAATCTTTGATAGATTTACAAACTTGATCAGTTCTTTATGTAAAAGAATGGTTCATACTACCTTGAAGTGTTACATTCGACGTCATACATATGACTCGTATTTTAATCTTTTTTTCCGATACAAGAAAAAAATTCATACAAATCATGTATTTGTACGAAAATGTATAGAAAATACAATATTTAAGATGAGAATTAATATTATTTGATTCGGTCTTTGATATATAGAAAACTATTTGTCAATACAATACAACAAATAGTAATTAGCATTATTAAAAATATCAAAGTTATATAAATATTCGAAATAAATTATTTTCTTCACCACAAATATTAAATATAATCAGTTCCTCTCATTGATTGAAGATTCACTTTATTTTTCATCCGAAAAATTTGAGAACAAGGTATTGAATAAAATAAATTGATGAGGTCATTATTTTAACAACTTATTATAACGGTTGTCAATTATATTTACTTTTTTTCATAAACTTGGAAAATTAATTTGCTATATTTCTTAAGTGAATTTACATTGTATCGTTACAAAATTTATTTAATAATAATTACAAATATTGAAAATAAAATTTAATTTCCTTTTTATTATTAAAACGTCTTAAACCTTAACTAAAATTTGCAGTTTTCAAGGATTTTGCCCCCAAAATTTAATTTTATAGTAAAAATTAGATTATTAAAGATACGGATCAATGTTTTGAGTATAACGGTACTATTTTATTTTTATTTATAAAACATGTGGATTAGGAATTAGAATCAAATCCAAAGATGTAGAATTGATTTTAGAATTAACTAATTGCGATTTAATTGTTTATCAAGTTTCGAACTTTGATGGTAATGAGTTAATTTTTTTGATCACTATTACTATTTCTTCAAAAAAAATAATTTGTTTACCAAAAAAACTAATTTTTCAAGAAATAATTAACATCTATCACATTATCACGAATTTGCTAATTTAAATATAATAGAATGAAGTTAAATCATTTCTAATTTCAGTTTTATGCATTTACCTTTTTTTTTATTATTATTTTTATTAATTTTAGGTTCAAGCATATATGAGAAATGTGTTTTTTTTTAGTTTTATTTTTTTAATTGTTATTTGTTTAAATTTAAATTTATTTATTATTTTATTAATTAATAATTAGAAGCCATTTTCTAATAGTATCATTTTCAGAAGTGTGATATGTATTCTTTTTTTTATCATATTGTTATTTTTGGATGTTTATCCGCGACTTTATTTTTTTGATATTTACGAAGCTTTTTAACTTTTTATATATTACATTTAAGATGGATCGCTTCAGAATTTTTTTTATGCTCTACAGTTACAGTAATGGTGGATAGTTTCAGATATGTCTGTTTTCAAAATATCAGTTAATAATTTACATTTATAGATGATTACAGATTGAACGATTCAGAACAATAGTTCCCACTTAAATGATTTAATTTTCTAGCTTTCTAATGATTCAGTTGTAACCTAAACATCACCATGTCTCCAATTAAACTTGGAATATCCAAAATTAGAATTCCTATTTCAGACTTCTTAAACTGCAATTTCTAATTGGAATGATCATGTCCCAAAAGTAATCATATTTTAAATTCAACTTGGAATATCCCAAATCGGATCTGGAATATAGTCAAGTTTGGGTGTCTAATATCCCAAACTTAACTGTATTCCAAACTAATCTAGTTAGTTTAGTTTATGGTCAAGTTTGAAACATATTATATCAAACATAACCGTATTCCAAATTGACCTAGGTAGATTAGGAACATTATCAAATTTGAATAACCGAATGTCCCAAACTTGATAATATTCCAAGTTTACCTAGATCAATTTGGAACACAGTCAGGTTTGAATATAAGATATTCCAAACTTCAAATTAACCTAGATAAATTTAGGATACAGTCGGGTTTAGAATATCCAAACCTGACTATATCCTAAATTGACCTAGGTAGATTTGAAACATAGTCAGGTTTGGAGAATCAAATGTCTCAAACTTAACTATATTCTAAATTGACATATATTAAAAACTATTTAAGGGGATATATGCCAATGAAATGATCACATGACATAAATTGATAATAATCGAACTCGTCGAGTGATAGTGATAGGGATAAATAGTGATTAAATATCAAATTTAACATAAATGTTATTTATCGAAAATAATCTGATTGGCAAATTATTGAAAAAATAATTAAATAAAGAATTATCAAAAAGTAATTAAATAGAAAATTATCAAAAAGTAATCAAATAGAAAATTATTGAAAGCAATTATTATATTTATTGATAAATGTTTCATCATACAATATTAAAATATTTAAAATTTTTTCCTAAACTATATTATAATATTACGATGATGATAATTACTCACTAATATTACCAAATAATAAATTGTAATTTATCAGTTCACTTATATCGGCAGGTATTACATCATTTTCTTCATCTAATTCTTCAATTATTTTTTCCTTCTTCTTTCGATTTCTGGAGTTTCTTCTTTTAATACCGCTTGAGAATCACTAAGTTCAATACTGTCACGACTTATAAGTACATCCTAAAAAGTTGATTACAATTATGATAAATAAATATGCTGATAATTAATAAATAAAAATCAATTACGATAATGAATAATATAACGATAATTTATAAATAGTTAATTAATAAAAAAATAAATATTACCTTAAATACTTGAAAACGTCATTATAATAGTTTTTTTGCACATTCTGTATCTGGATAATCTGGGTTTAAAACAATATCACATATAGCCGCTGTATAAGCATAAATACTAAGAAATGACTTGTTACCATCAGAAACATTAGTAAATACGTTTTTCACAATATATTCCATTGCATTATAATCATCTTCAAATAATTTTTGATGACAATCTTTAACTCTTTTTAAATTTTTCCACTCTAGTATGTCACTCACGCTTTTTTGCCTGTTGCTTGACGATAATTGGATCTTGAATTCTCTAGAGATTGCATTTCGAACTGCCGCTGAATTTATACCTCTTGTATCTTTCATCTTATGCATAAGCTATTAAATAAAAATTATCAATTAATAACAAAAATTAAAATTATGTAAATTTAATATATATTTCAAATAATTATTGATAATTACTATGATGTGATGTTTTCCTGAGAAGGTATTCACCCATTCTCTTGCTGATAAATTATTAAAAACTTCCAAGTGATGTGTTTTAAGCCAATTCTCAAATAAATTTTTAAACTTTTCAAATTCAGGCCACATCTTTTCAGGAAAAAATCCTTGACATACACTACTATATCCATCCTATGCATTATTTATGTGATATGTAGTTAAAAATATCAATGATTATTGATAGGTATTTAAATGTGATATAAAATTACTTAAAAATAAAATTACTTATGTTAAAAATTTTATTACTTAATTTTTTGTTTTTATCTTTGATTTGTTTATTCATTTGGTTTTGGATCTATGCAAGTCTGTCATTGGTTGCTTTATGCATTTCAAATAATGCATGAAGCTGTTTTGACTGTTTTTTGAACATATTCTTGAATATTTTATTATAGTAATTATCATCCAATTATACAATACTTTTTTCTTAAGAGTAATTTAAGATTTTATCATAGCACAGAATCATAATATCTCGTTCACTAGCTACTATTGATTGTTGATGTTCAAAATATTGTTCATCATTTGTGATTGGTAATGTCAGTCTATTGATATAATGAGTAGATGAGATTAGTGTCATTAGTTTACTAACGTGCTGTTCGTTGGATAAGATTGATATCGTTAGTTTACTGATGTGTTGTTACACATCTGAAATGAAATTAATTTTATCAGTAATTATCATTGTGAAAATATATTTCAATTTAATTTATTTGGCGACTATATGTTATCTTTTATCTATATCTGGATTATTATGATTATTACCTTCTGGATTACTGACAGTAAAACTTCCTTATGTGACTACATAATCATCATTTAATTCTTCATCAGTTCTTGACGTTTTATCTTTATTTTTTTATTAAAATTTCATTTAATTTTTTTTTTAGACTTTTCTGATTTGTATTGTCATTATCTTAAAATTCATCATTTTTATTATTTTTTTTATTTCTAGCTTGAGAAGTGGATCTTGTATTATGGGACTTTCTTTTTGTCATTTTTTAAGAAAAAAAAAAGAGAGCAAGCATGAAAAAAAAAAAAGCAATCGTGAGAAAAATAAAAAAATAAAAAAAAGTTTAATTAAATGCAAAGTATAATTTTATATTTACATCACTTAAGCATTACTTAAAATAATTAATTATTTCACTTTTTTTCTATGATCTATAAGTGATTTATATCAAAATCACTATAATTGTCCTTGAAAATTTCTTACCATTGTTTATAAAATTGTTTGACTAAATTAACAATTAATTAGTAATCATCATTTTTTGCACCACTTAAAATAATTTTAATTAATTGCATCACTTTTCTATGATGTATATCAAACATCATTATAGTTAAATAAAATGTTAAAAATTTCTCTGTAACTAAAAATAACAACTGTTTCTTAAAATTTCTTACCATCACTTTCGATATATTTAAAGTTATCCCAAATTCACTTTTGTTATATTAATTAAAATTAAACCATGACTTATGAATATCCAAATTGTCCATGAACATTTGCAACCTCTTATGCATTAAAAAGACATATCTCTGATAAACATCAATATGATCTCAATGAAAAAGAAGAAACATCTCAGATGAATATAGTAGAAGAACTCAGTTTTTGGGATAATGAAGATAAAGAAACATCACTTCAAGAAGAATCTGGTCTTTGGAATAATACAGACGAAAAAATACCAATTCAAGAATCTGATCTTTAGGGTAATGATTATGAAGCAAAAACACCAACTCAAGAGGTAATAATAATATAATGTTGATTATTATCGAAATGAAAAATAATTATTAAGAATTAGTCTTAATAAATAACCATAAACAGAATGATGAAACTAATGAATTAAACTTACTACAACCAGCTGATTCCTAAGAAACTGATAAAGAGATGAATGACGTTAATAAAATTCTCAAGAAACTAATGAAAAAAATTATAAAAGTAATAATGATAGTGAAACCGATGAGAATACTGCTAATGTTAATTTAACATTTCCATTAAATATCGATTTTGAAGATTATCATAGAATTACATTGGATGATACCTTAAATGATAAGATGCATCTACCAACTACAGAATGGCCAAATGATACTTATCGTGAATTTATGAAAATCATTACTGAATATCAATTGTTAAATTCATATGGTGATAGGTTAATCAAACTATGAATGTCGATAAAAATTTATTTTCAAAAACTACCAAAGAAGAACGAAAATTCCTTGATAATAGCGAATTTCCTTATATGAATTTTAAAAAGTTCACATTATCAAATTTGAAGACGTTAATTATGAATTTCATTATCAACCAATAATTAACGGAATTAAGACTCTACTTTTACAACCTGATATTAATGAAGAATTTGTATTTTAATATCAGGGTAATACTTCTATTAAAATTTATGATGAATAATATAAAAGCGATTGGTGGCATATGATAGAAAAAAGATTTCCATTGATAATAATTTTCTTTCAATTATTATCTATGCTGATATAATCATATGTGATCATCTAGGTAAAACATCAGAACATCTGATTTATATTTCACTTGAAAATATTTCAAATTGGTCACGAAATAAGCCTCATGCTAAAGTACTTATTGGTTATTTGCTGAAATTGAAAGCTAAGAACAATACAACTAGGAATTCTAAAGTATTTCAAAAATTACAGAGACAGGTGTTCCAAAAATGTTTGCATATATTATTATCACCAATATACAATCAAAGTGATATGTATTTTATTGTAAAAAATAAAATATACGTATTTACACCAAAGATATCAGTTCCTATAAATAATATATATAAGGAAAGTATAAAGAAATAATAAGTTTAAAAAACGTATAATAAACATAGAAAAACAGTATAATAAATTCATAAATATTTCCATATACTAGATACTGAAAATCGTCTTTTTCCATATGCAAAAAAATACTGAATTTATACGTCTAATC